TTGTTCAGCATGGGGGTGAGTAGAAAATGAAGGCTAATCATGTTTTGGGTGTACTATTCCTTTAAGGTCAACCATCAATTCTGTTCAGGTGTTGTTAATAGGCTGAGGCAAACAGTTTTCTACTGTGCTTGGTTTGGATGTATGTTGAATTTATGTGGATCTTATGGGAAAAAGTAAGACAATGGACATTGTACTGATAATAAATGATATTTATTTTATGTTAAACGGAATCTTAATTAAAACCAATGCCTTTCAACAACAACCACCAGTAGCCTAAAATATAGGATTTTAGCCGCTACACTAATAACACTGAATACACCACATTCAAATATTAGAAAAACTGAGCACATTTAAAAACAATGGAAAAACTCAAAACATAAGACACAAAACTTGACAAAGGTAAACTCCAAATGTTTATTTTTAACTTAGGATGATGATAAAAAGCAAAGAAAATTTAAATTTTATGCTAACACAGTGTTATATCTGGCAATAACTGATGTCATATAGAAATTTTGACAATAAATCTAACAATTCAAAAGGAAATCTGTGCAAGAATATATTTTTCATAGAGTCACTACACCTATACCATACAACAAAAAAAATGTAGTTAAAATCTAAAGAGCTAAAGCTTATACTCTGTTCAACTCAGTTCAAGACTGATCCTAAACCAATATGACCATAATGATTTTTACAGTGCAAAGCAGATCAGGTTTAAATAAATAAGTTCAACCACATCACAGAGACAGATTCAGAGTCATACACTAACTGATTTCATTATAGGTAGATTCAGTCTAAGATAGGGATGTGGTACAACACTTAGGCTAAGGGTTGGTTTATGTTTGACCATCAGTGTTTTGTGTAGAAATGAATGTTTTTTTATCTTCTTTTTAACATGTGTTGCGCTTTATTTCTTGAATTATTTTATAGTCTTGATCTAGATTTGACTAGTAAGTTTTTAATCTTTTTGTTTTGTTTGCTTTAAGAAAACAATGCCAGTAAAGTTGTGAAGAGGAGAGTTTTAAGAAAAAAATAGTCTTAGCCTAAAAACTTGAAAAAGGACAAGTTCAAGTTCCCACCACTGTGTTGTTCTCTTCTGAGCTACAGTACATCCCTGCTTCCACACCTGTCAACTAAATTACATTATGATTATATCATGGCAATAAAGACTTTTGATTTTTAAAATATATTCACCCTGAGTGCAAATTAGGTGGGCTTTCAATGAAAAAATATAAAACTACATGCAAGTACCAATTAACTAGATCTCAGTTATAATTTCACTACTTGCCGTTATACTTTTTGAGACTGTCCTTGGCCTGGTCTACTGTAATTTCCCCCCAATCATCAGGAATGTCAGCAGGCTTTGCTACATATGCTTCTGCAAATTTCATGTTGTACTTATTCATTACATATTTCCAATATTCTGATGCTTTGAGACTTGAATCTGGTGGAATATTCCAGTCTGGAAAAATCTTCCTATATTCTTTGTAAGGCTGTAATGCAATTTCAGTGCAGCTAAACGTCTTGTCGCTTATAACAAGAGAAGAGCAGATATCAGTACAGAGTTTTCTTGAGAACATTGACCTGTACTGACCCAAACCATTTGGTCGATGCAGGGAAGCAAAGTGTTCACTGTGAGCTTTTCCTCCTGCATCACAGGGTATTTTACAAAATGGACACTGTTTGCCACAACCAACCACTCTTCTGAAAAGCTCATCCTGTGGTTTCAAATGGAGGTGTCTGAGTGTTGCATCAAAGTCTGTGTTTTTAAACTTCTCCCTAAGAGCTTCTTTCATTTCCTTCACACACTCTCTGAGCCAGTGAGTAAACTGTTCCTGGTCAGCCTTGTTCAGAACCATAAAGGCATTGAGAGCATCCTGGGAAATTACCAGTTTATCACCAAGTTCTTTGCAGATATTTTCAACAAATGTCTTCAGACTATCAGTCTTTTCTGCTTTTGCGTTTTTAATGGCAATATTTATGTCTTCAGTACAGGACCTAAGACGTATGTCCTCTAACTCAGATATTGAGAACTCAGAGGAGAATTTCTCCTCGATTCTCTCAATGATCCATTTTTTTACATACTCTTCATATGACAAAATGTATCTCTGAAAGCTTTCAAAGTTGTTTTTTTCAATCAAATCCAATAAAACCATATACTGAAAGGACATTCGTGTACTGAACTCTATTTTTGTCAAGATTTTATCAACAATATCAGAACCAAGAGAACGATAGACAAAGTTCTCCACAGCAGGTTTCAGACATTGGTTGGTGAATTCCTCAGCTTTCTTCTGGCACTGATAGAACACATCTTTGAAATCTGTGCAGAACTTTTCCTTGTTTTCCTGCAGACATGTTTGAGGATCATTTTCTCGTATAAAATCTTCATGCATCTTTTGAAACTTTCTGGCAGCAGATCCACAGATGTGCTGCTTTAGAGAAACCTCAAACTTAATGTCGCTGTTAACATCATCGTTATTCAGCTTCTCATCAATGATGTGAAGGATCTCCTGGATGTAAGTATCATGATAATTTGTTTTGTTTTCAATTTTTCTTGACACAAACTCACTGCAATCAGCTATGATGCTGTCTGCATTTTTTTGTCTCTCCTTTACTATATCTTTCCAGGACCACAATCCTTTCAAAGCAACTTTCATGTTTTCCCGCACTCCTTTGGGTGTGTATTCAAAAGGCTTCAATCCACAGTCTTTAAGACTTTTTTTATTTAGCAGTTCACAAGCATGGCTTCCTTTGGGTGATATATTTGTTAGCAGCTGACGGTAAATATTGGCATAGATATCTGAAGTCTGCTGTGCAGCAAAAGACAAGGTCTTTAATGTTTTTATCCACATCTCATCAAAACTTACATCAAGCTCACTGTCTGTCATTTCAACTTTTTTCTTACGACACTCATCAATTAATTCACAAACTGCTTTTCCAATTTCCTCTGTATAGCTGGTCTTAATTTTGTCCAGTCTTTGCTTTCCCTTTTTGAGGTCCGCTGCTACTCTGAGCTGGTTGGACACTGAACTTTCAGTTTGTGCTCTAAGACTCTTTATGCTGTTAGAGAAGTCCTCTCTGTATCTTTCAACCAGGTGAACATGACCTTCTGGCTGCTCAAAGTATTTCTTCAGGTTCTCAAGAATAATTGATTCCAACTTCATCAGCTCTGTGACTGCTTCACTTTCTAACTCAGTGATAAAGTTCTCCATGTCAAATATGTCAGATGTTGCAGCAACTGTACCAAAATTTGAAATTTTAGTTTCTGCATTGGTAACCCAGGTGTACATTTCTTTTTTGAACGCCCACTCCCATTTGTTGTACTCTGTGCAGAGCCTCATGTATGCATCAGCTACCAGACTGTTTCTGAAGCTGAAGATGAAGTTTTCGTGTTTTACTGCTTTCCACAGGCTGGTTATCCACTCTCTGAACTCCAAGATGTTATTAGAAGTTGACCCACACTTTCCCAGCAGTTGGATGATGTTTTTCTTGAGGTCATAGACAGCCTCACTGTATCCAGCATTAACTGGCGCCATTGGTGGGTTTCCATTCCAGAGTCCAGGAATGTAGCAGTTCCCAGTGTCTGGATTGTACTCCATGACATCAGTGAATTTCTTGTTCTTCTCTCTCTTTTCCATTTTAGCTGCTGCCTGGGTCATCTCATTCAGCTGATCTAGGAGCAGCTT